GCGTGCGGGGTGTATGAAGTATGGGTGTTTTGACGTGTGGGTGTGTGACGTGTGGGTGTTGACGTGCGGGTGTATGACGTGGGGGGTTTGTGGCCCTGCGGGGTTATGACGTGCTGGGTTTTTTGACGTGCGGGGTGTGTAAAAGTGCTGGGTTGTGACGGTTTTGGGTGTATGAGTGCTCCCCCCCCCAAAAAATGGATGGGGGGTTTTGCTGGGTGTATGACGTGCTGGGGTGTATGACGTGCTGGGTGTATGCGTGCTGGGTGAAATGACGTGGGGGTTTTGGGCCCGTGCTGGGGGGGGGGACATGCGGGGGGTGTTAATGCTGGGTGTATGACGACGGGGGTTGGACTCCTGGGTTTTTAATTGGGGGGTTTGGGTTGTATGACGTGTGGGTGATGCTGGGGTGTAGGGTTTGGGTTGGGGGTGTTGACTGTGGGTGTATGAGTCCCCGGGGTTTTGGGAAACGTGTTGGGTGTATGACTGCTGGGGGGTTGACTGCTGGGTGATGCTGGGGGGGTTTATGAGTGCTGGGTGTTGACTGTGGGTGTATTCGTGCTGGGTGGTTGGGGTTGCTGGGTGTATGACGTGTTTGGGTGTATGGGAAGCTGCTGGGTGTTTGGGGTGCTGGGGGGTGCTTTGCTGGGTGTAGACTGTGGGTGTTTAAGGTGTTGGGTGTATGAGTGCGGGGTTTGTGGGGCTGGGGTGATGACGGGCGGGGGTTGGTTGCGGGGGTGTTGACTTTGGGGGTTTTTTTGTTTGGGGGTGTTGCGTGCTGGGTGATGCGGTGGGTTTTTGACGTGCTGGGGAGGGCTGGGGGGTATGACGGCTGGGTTTTGATGCTGGGTTTTATGACTGCTGGGGGGTGCTGGGGTTAGGGACTTTGGGTGAATGCTGGGTGATGACGTGTTTGGGTGATGTGGGTGTAGGGCCCGTGCGGGGTTTTAAAATGCTGGGTGTTTAATGGGGGGTTTTGGGGGGGAATTTTTTGGGGTGTTAAAGTGCTGGGTGATGCTGGGGTTTTGGGGACTTGTGGGTGATCTGGGTGTAGCTGCTGGGTGATGCTGGGTGTATGCGTGTGGTTGATTGCGGGGTTTGTATGCGTGTGGGGGGGATTGCTGGGTTTTGGACTTTTTTTTGGGTTTTGATGCTGGGTGTATGACTGCTTGGGTAAATTGCGGGGTGTTTGCGTGCTGGGTGTTGCGGGGTGTATAAAGTGCTGGGTGTTTGTGCGGTGTAGGGAAGTGCTGGGTGTTTGGGGGTTATGACTTGTGGGGTGATGCTGGGTTTTATGATTTTTGTTTGGGGGGGATGCGGGGGTGAAAGGGACGTGCTGGGTGATGCGGGGTGTTTTAAAGTCCCTGGGTGTTTTGGGGGGGTTGTCGTGTTGGGGTTGCGGGGTTTTTGGATGCTGGGTTTTCCCTTGAGGGTGTTAGGGGGTGATGCTCGGGTGTGGGGGTTTCGTGCGGGGTGGGGATGTGGGTTTTGGGGACATGCTGGGTGATGACTTGGGGTTTAAATGACGTGCGGGGTTTTTGAGGCTGGGTTTTGGGGCGGCTGGGTTTGGAGCTGGGTGTAGGGAATACTGGGTGTTGCGGGGGGGTGTTTAAGTGATGGGGTGTGATGCGGGGGTGTGACGTGTGGGGGGGGTATGCTGGGTGTAACGTGCTGGGTGGGGGATGCGGGGGTATGACGTGTGGGTGAGGGCTTGGGGGTTTTTGGAGTGTGGGGGTTAAAATGCTGGGTTATGACTGCTGGGTGAAGCTGGGGTCATGCCCTTTGTTTGGGGTGATGTGGGTTTTGGGGGACGTGCGGGGGTTGGATGCTGGGTGATGACTTGCTGGGTGGATGCGGGGGTTTAGCTTTTTAATTTTTGGGTTTTTGGCTGGGGTATGACGTGCCGGGTTTGTAAATGTGGGTGTAGGCTTGGGGGGGTGTGGCGGGGTGTATGACTTTCTGGGGTGAGCTGGGTTTTAGGGACGTGTGGGTGATGCTGGTGGTTGGGACGGGGCTGGGTGAAGCTGGGTGTATGACTTTGCGGGGTTTTGATGCTGGGTGTAGGGACTGCTGGGTGAATACTGGGGTTTTAAACCGTGGGGGTTTTTGATGCTGGGTGTATGACGTGCTGGGTGAGGGCTGGGGTAGGGGGAAGTGCTGGGTGTTGGGGGCTGGGTGTATGACGTGCTGGGTGGGGCTGGCTGGGTGTATAAAGTGCTGGGTGATTGGGGTTTTGGGTTTTTTCCCGTGTGGGTGATTGGGTGTATGGATTTGAGGGGGTGATGTGGGGTGTATGACTGCTGGGTGTGTGGGTGTTGTATGACTGTGGGTGATATGGGGTGTTTGAGGTGCTGGGTGATGCTGGGGGTGTATGACGGGGGGGTTTGGATGCGGGGTGTATGACGTGCTGGGTGATGGGGTGTATGAAGTGAGGGGTGATGCTAGGTTGTAGACGGCTGGGTGAGTGGGTGTATGCCTGCTGGGTGATGCTGGGTGTATGACTTTCTGGGTGTATTGACTGTTGGGTGGCTGGGTTTTAGGGACGTGTGGGTGATGCTGGGTTTTTGGGACGGGGTGGGTGATGCTGGGTGTATGATTTGCTGGGTGATGCTGGGTGTATGACGTGCTGGGTGATGTGGGTGTATAAAGTGCTGGGTTTTGGGGGTTTTATGACGTCCCGGGGTGTTTTTTGGGTGTAGACGTGTTTGGGTGATGCTGGGTGTATGACGTGGTGGGTGTTGCTGGGTGTTTAAATGCTGGGTGATGTGGGTGTTGACGGCGGGGTGGGGTGGGGGGTAGGGAGTGCTGGGTGATGCGGGGTTTGTATAAAATGCTGGGGTGATGTGGGTGATGACTGTGGGTGATGCTGGGGTATGACGGGGGGTTGGGGAATTGTTTGGGTGTTGACTGCTGGGTGAGGGTCTAGGTGTATGACGTGCGGGGTTTTAATGCGGGGGTGTATGACGTGCTGGGTGATGCGGGGTGTTTGAGTGTGGGTGTGCTGGGTGTATGCGTGTGGGTGATGGGGGGTTTGTTTTGAGTGCGGGGTGATGTGGGTGTAGGACTGTGGGTGTTTCTGGTTGTTTTGACTTGTTTGGGTGATGCTGGGTGAAAGAGTGCTGGGTGATCCTGGGTGTATGACGTGCTGGGGGTTGCGGGGTGTATGACGTGCTGGGGGATGTTTGGGTGTAGGACGTGCTGGGTGTGCTGGGTGTATGACGGTTTGGGGTGATGCGGGGTGTATGACTTGGGGGGGTTTGATGTTTGGGTGTATGAATGTTTGGGTGATGCTGGGTGTATAAATGCTGGGTGTGTTGGGGTGTATGACGTGCGGGGGAAAATGAGGGTTATAAATGTTTGGGTTTTGATGTGGGGTAGGGACGTGCGGGGGTGAGTTTGGTTTTATGCCCGTGTGGGTGTTGCGGGGGGGGGGGGGGGGGGTTTTTGGGGGACTTTGCTGGGGGGATGCGGGGGTGTATGAGGGGGTTGGGGGGTGACGGGGGTTGGGGGTGTATGCCCGGTTTGGGTGTAGGGAAATGCGGGGGGTGATGCTGGGTGTATGACTTTGGGGGTTTGATGCTGGGGTGTTGAGGGGCTGGGTGATGCTGGGTTTTGGGTTTTTTGGATTGCTGGGTTTTTTGTTTGGGTGTATGACTTGTTTGGGTGAGCTGGGGGGAGGCGTGCGGGGGTTTAAATGCTGGGTGTATGACTTTGCGGGGTTTGATGCTGGGTGTAGGGACGTGCGGGTGATGGGGTTTGTTTTTGAGTGCTGGGTGATGTTTGGGTGTAGGACGTCCCGGGGGTAAAGGTGGGTGTTTTGACGTGCTGGGTGATGCTGGGTTTAGGACTTTTTGGGGGTGTGCTGGGTTTTATGACGTGCTGGGTGATGTGGGTGTAGGCGTGTGGGGATGTGGGTGTATGACGTGTGGGGGGATGCGGGGTTTGTAGGGAAGGTTTGGGTGATGCGGGGTGAAAGGACGTGCTGGGTGTTTGGGGGCGGGGTTTTTTTGGGGGAGTGCTGGGTGATGCGGGGCTGGGGGTGAATGGGGTTGCTGGGGGGATGCTGGGTGTATGACGGGGCGGGGGTGATGTGGGTTTTGGGACGTGGGGGTATGCGGGGGGTGTATGACGTGCTGGGTGATGTGGGTGTAGGGACGTGGGGTGATGCTGGGTGTATGACTTTGCTGGGTGATGTGGGTTATGAGTGCTGGGTGATGGGGGTTTGTATGACGGCTGGGGGGATGTGGGTGTTAAACGCCTTAATTTTAGTTAATTTTTAGTTAAGGGGTGTTGGGGGGTTTCTGCTGGGAAAGTGCTGGGCTGTGCTGGCTTTTCTGCGGTAGGGGGTGGTTTAGTTTGGTTTTAAGTGCTGGGTATTTTTGCGTAGGGGGGCCGGGGGAAAATTCTCCCTTAAAAATTTTTTTTTGTTTTGAGCTAGTTTCTGCCCCTGTTTGCGCTGTGTGCGCTTTTTCTGCGCTAGTGCTGGGGCCTAGTGCTGCGCCTGTAGTTGCGCTAGTTTGCGCTAGTGCTGCGTTAGGGTTTGCGTTTGGCTGGGGTTAGTTCTGCGTAGTTTTTCCCCTAAATCTGAGCTCAAAAATTTTTTTTTGGCAATTTAAACTTTAGCGGGGGGTAATTTTTTTTTTCCCCGGGCCCGGAAATTTTTGGTCGTCCCCTCACAGCCAGCCAATCAGGAAGTTTGGGCTCTTCCTTGGGCCGCCCCCCCAAAAGGGCCCCGCCTGATTTTAAATTTAAAAGATTTTGCCCCGAAATGCCCCCAATTTTGGTTTTAAATTCGTATTTTTTTAAGGTGATCTTTTGGCCATTTGTTTGGGGTTTATATGTGGGAATTTATAAAGGTGTCCAGTTTTTTTGGAGGGGGGGAAAAATATATGTAGGAAGGCGAAATAAAAAAAAATTTGAAATGTGTATTGGGGCGATGGGGAAACCCCCCCCCCCCAGGCGTCGTTAAATCATGGGCAAAAAACAACAAAAACTTCAGTAACTGTGTGTACTTTGTGGAGGTAGGGTGTGTCGCCCTGTGGTGCTGACGCGTGTGTGGTTACCCAATACTTTAGATAATGTAAGGAATAGTTGCTATGTTTGAATAATTTATAGGAGTAATATCAGTGGTCTGGAGTGGAAGGGATCGTAGGTAAGCGTGGAGTGAGATACTGGAGCGTGAGTTAACAGCATGGCGGTGGCTGAGAGGAGACAAGCGTCTGAGCGGCTTACAGCTGCACCCTCCTCCAGGCTGCTGCTGCTGCTGCTGCTGCTGGAGGCCACGCTGTGTGCGGCCCAGATGACCGGAGGTGCAGGAGGCAGGGTAGGCATGCGGCCCCCGGGGCGGGTAGAACACGTCTCCGACCTGGATATGTTACCTCGCCACGACCGCTGTGAACCCATCACCATCAGGCTGTGTAAGGATATCCAGTACAACACCACCATTATGCCTAACCTCCTGAACCACCACACTCAGGAGGAAGCCGGTATGGAGGTTCACCAGTTCTTTCCACTGGTGAAGGTGCAGTGCTCCCAGGACCTCCACTTCTTCCTCTGCAGTGTGTACGTGCCTGTGTGTACCATCTTGGACCGACCGTTGCCTCCGTGTCGACACCTCTGCCTCTCCGCTAAGGACGGCTGTGAGGACCTCATGAATAAGTTCGGCTTCCAGTGGCCAGAGTCTCTAGACTGCAATAAGTTCCCAGCGGATCCTCATGAGGCTTTGTGTGTGGGAGAGAACAGCACCTCCCCGCCAGCCTCCTCCTTCCCTAAATCAGACCCGGATCCACGGCCTCCTGCAGGGAACCCTTACGCAGGCAAGGATTTCCAGTGCCCAGCTCACTTCAGAGTGCCCAAGCAACAAGAGTACAAGCTTCGTGTGGGCGGGGTGGAGGCCGCAGATTGCGGCGCTCCTTGCAATGGTATGTTCTTCAACGAGGAGGAGCTGAGGTTCTCCCGACACTGGGTGGGAGGTTGGGCCTCCGTCTGCCTCGCCTCCACTACCTTCACCGTTGCCTCCTTCCTAGCGGACGTGCGCCGCTTCCGTTACCCCGAGCGTCCCATCATTTTTATCAGCATGTGTTACTGGTTCATCGCAGCCACGTACGTGGTGGGACTGGTCCAGGGGGAACGTGTGGCTTGTGACGAGCCCTGGGACCCCCCGCAGTACCTGCCGGAGCTCAGGGACCAGATGGTCCGTACCATCACCCAGGGTGTGGACCGGGAATGGTGCACCATCGTCTTCATGACTCTCTACTTTTTCTCGATGGCAGCCTCCATCTGGTGGGTGGTGCTGACACTCACCTGGTTCCTGGCCGCTGGCCTCAAGTGGAGCCACGAGGCCATCGAAAACAACTCTGCCTGGTTCCATCTGGCCGCCTGGGCCATCCCTGCTATCAAGACCATCATCATCCTGGCCACGGAGAATGTTGAAGGTAAGTCACAGGCACTCAAGTGTCACACTTGCAACACTGGTGGTTGTTGCTGCTCTCTCACTCACTACACTAGCACTCTGCTCTCACGCTTACTCTCTACACTACCATATATCTTACCCCGGTTCTCCCATTACACTCAGATTGATGCTATTTAGGTTTTGTAATTGCGTGACTGAAGGCAGCTGATTTACACCTGTCAGGTATGTAGGGGAAAACAGCACCTCCCCCGCCAGCCTCCTCATTAACAAGACTCGCGGCTTGCTGCCAGGAATCCTCACGCCAGTAAGGGCTTCCAATGCCCATTCCACTTCAAAGGGGAGACATAACAGGAGTACAAATTTGCCCGAACTTGCGTTGAACTCATGATTATATCATTGTCACTAACAAACTATGGAACGGGTGGGGTTCGAACCCATGGCAAGTGAGTCCAAAGATTCCTTTATCGTCGTTTATATCATTACTTCGTGAACAGTATGTGACCGGAGACTATTCAACACATTACCCTCCCCCTCCGACACCCCAACCAGCGGGGATGGTCCTCACTCCCCCCCTTCTGGCACCCATACCCCATACCCCTGACCACTGAACTACCTTTCATCACCGAAACCCAGCCACCACCACTACATATAACTGTCCAGGACAAGATAAACAGCAGTGATCATGACAGGAATCAGATGCTGTAGGATGTATGATATATGATGTTATACAACATAAAAGTTTTTAATGGGTAATAAGTCTCCATACTAATTACATCCCATATACCCATGTATTGACCTATAACACCCACACCTGCGTGCAGAGCTGAAAGGTAAAGTGAAGATCAGGTTCTTGTGGTACCCAGTTGCAAATAGGATACAGGCAGGATGGCAGTATAGTATACCTGTGGGACATGTGAAAAGGCTCTTGGGAAAAAATCTAGAATCACATGCAACCTTTGCTTTTCAAAACATCATGTTACCTGTGCAAGAATAAACGCTGCAACCAAAAATGACATCTATCTAGATAGTTGTTTCTGGATCTGCAACAGAGATGTGGAACTATGGACAAATATCAGGAAATCACTCAGGAGGTTAATAAACAATAAACACGAAAAAAAAGGAGGAACTATTGAATAGTCTACCTGGAATATATAGAGCATGGGAAGATAGGAGAGGAGTGAAGTCTAACACAGAGAATGCCCAGTCTACAACAACTGACCCAAAAATAAGCAGATACACACTAGAAAAAACACGGGAAACAAAAACAACAGCTAGTTCAGTCCCCAGCCTTAGGGCTGACCCAGACCCAGCCCCAGCCATTGTGAAAATCCGGATTCAGTTAAAGACTCCTCCACAGCCACCAACGCCATAGCCCCTAGTACAGATGTAGTAGAGGAGCCCTCCTCTGGGGTAGACTCTTCTGCAACCATCAGTCATAGCCCCTAGTACAGATGTAGTAGAGGAGCCCTCCTCTGGGGTAGACTCTTCTGCAGCCATCACAGTCATAGCCTCTAGTACAGATGTAGTCGGGGAATCCCCTCCCAGGAAAAATGTTGGTGCCATGACAGCAGATGGTGGTGACTCTGGATTGGCTATGGAGGACTGTAGTTCAGCCCTAGGGCCAGCACAGATTAAGAATACATCCAGCACGAATTGTACCCAGCCAAAAACAAAATGGTGCAAATACTATATTTGGGGCATCTGTAAACACGGAATATCAGGGAAAACGAATGGGGCATGCAACTTTGAGCATCCCAAAAATTGCCGTGACCTCCTGTCTAAGGGAGTGTGTCGTTCTACCTCTTGCAAATACTTCCACCCGATGTGTCAGTCTTCAGTCCTTGAAAAACAATGTTACAATACCAATTGCACTGCATATCATCTAAAAGGAACCAGGAGGCACACACCCCATACAACACATCATAGAAACTATGGTAGCTATGACAACACCCCAAGTGATTTTTTAGGGGTAGGAAACGAAGAAAGAAAATGGGGAGATAACCAAAATAGTCCACCTTGGGGCCTTGTTAGACTGGAGGCACAGCCAGTGGAGCCTCCGGGCTCACAGCTTCTGATGCCAACAACAAAATCCCCCCAACAAACATGCAACACAACCTCATTTATATTTGCTAATATACAGGGCCTTAAGCCATCCACCAACAACAAAATACCTTTCATTAGTGGACTTCTAGAGGAGTCAAATTCACTGTTTGCAGCTTTCACAGAGACCCACGCGAAAGATTACTTTGACAGTGAAATATGGATACCTGGATACAACCTTTTCAGATGCAACAGAAAGAACAGGCAACAAGGGGGGGTTGGCCTGTACGTCAAAGAGTCGCTCATTTGCACAGAGATACTGAACACCACAAATGATGTAGTTGAAGTTCTGACAATAAAAATCGAGAACAAAACTTAGTCATTGTACTTGTATATAAGCCACCAGATGCAACTTCCCAACAGTTCAAAGAACAACTGTCAAAAATCGACTCCTGTCTGGACAACTTTCCAGCCCCATCCCCAAACATCTTGCTGCTTAGTGAACTTCAATCTAAGACACACAAAATGGAAGAATATAGGAAATAATGTCGTAGCAGAAATAATCCCTGGAGGTAGCTCAGATGAAAGGTCACACACGCAGGACCTGCTGAATTTCTGCAACACACACACCCTAAGTCAGCAAATAGTGGAGCCAACAAGACTGGAGAACACACTGGACCTTATTTTCACAAATAATGAGGACCTGGTAAGGAATGTAACAATATCAAAAAACAACAAATTCTGATCACAATCTAATCGAAGTCCAGACTTGCATGCACAGGAGTCCTGATCAGCACATTGCATTCAGTTATGAGGGTACCTTTACCAAATTCAACTTCAACAACAAGAACATCATCTGGGATCAGGTAAACTATGCCCTAAATGAAACATGCTGGGAGGATATCTTAAATTACGTGGACCCGACCCAATGCCTCGAAAAGATCACCCTCCTGGTAGCTGAAGTATGTTCAAGGTATATTACTATAAGACAAAAGAAAAGAAGAAGTAAACTGGAGAGAGAGAGACGCTCCCTCTACAGGAGAAGACGAAGAATCATTGAGCTCCTCAAGAATGCCAGATTATCTGATACACGGAAGGTAGTGCTAACCAGGGAAGTGGAAAATATTGAGCTGAAGTTAAAGGACTCCTACAGGATCCAGGAGAGACAAGAGGAGCTAAAAGAGATTGATGAAATTGAAAGAAATTCGAAATATTTCTCTTCATATGCCAGAAACAAGTCAAAAACCACTTCTAGTATAGGACCCCTGCTCAGACAAGATGGATCCTACACTGACGACAACAAAGAAATGAGCGAGATACTGAAATTGCAGTATGACTCAGTGTTCAGTGAGCCACTAACGAGTTTAAAGATAGATGATCCAAACAATTTTTTCATGAATGAGCCTCAAAACCCTGCCAATGTAGGCCAGATTTATGACATAACTCTAACTTCACTAGACTTTGAGAAAGCCATCGACGACATGCCCATGCACTCAGCCCCAGGCCCAGACTCGTGGAACTCGGTGTTCATTAAAAACTGCAAGAAACCCCTCTCACGGGCCCTAAGTATGCTATGGAGAAGGAGCTTAGACACAGGCGAGATTCCACAGTCACTAAAAACAACAGATATAGCCCCACTCCGTAAAGGTGGCAGCAAAGCAGTAGCTAAGAACTATAGACCAATAGCTTTAACGTCCCATATCATAAAAATCTTTGAAAGAGTTCTAAGAAGCAGGATAGCAAACCACCTGGACTCCCAAAAATTGCACAATCCAGGGCAACATGGTTTCAGCGCAGGTCGCTCCTACCTTTCGCAACTGCTTGACCACTATGATATGGTCCAAGATGCACTGGAAAACAAACAAAATGCTGATGTAGTATACACAGACTTTGCAAAAGCCTTTGACAAGTGCGACCATGGTGTAATAGCACACAAAATGCGTGCTAAAGGGATAACCGGCAAAGTAGGCAGATGGATCTTCAACTTTCTAACCAATCGCACACAAAGAGTAGTGGTAAACAGTTAAATCAGATGCTGCCATAGTGAAGAGCTCTGTCCCACAAGGCACAGTACTCGCACCTATCCTGTTTCTTATTCTCATATCAGACAGACAGAGATGTAAACCACAGCGCTGTATCATCTTTTGCAGACAATACTAGGATCTGCATGAGAGTGTCATCCATTGAGGACACTGTTAACCTCCAAGAAGATAGAAACCAAGTTTTCCAATGGGCAACGGAGAACAATATGATGTTCAATGAAGACAAATTCCAACTACTCCGTTATGGAAAACTGGAGGAAATAATAACTAGAACTGAGTATACTACAAACTCCAATCACACAATAGAGCTGAAAAGTAATGTGAGAGACCTGGGAGTGGTAATGTCAGAGGATCTCACCTAAAAGGATCACAACAATGCCACTATCACATCTGCTAGGAAACTGATAGGATGGATAATGAGAATATTCAAGACAAGAGATGCTAAGCCAATGATGATCCTTTTTAAATCACTTATTATTTCTAGGCTGGAATACTGCCGTACATTAACATCCCCATTCAAGGCAGGTGAAATTGCAGAGCTAGAGAATGTACAGAGAACCTTTACTGCACGTATAAGTTCCATCAAACACCTTAACTACTGGGAGCGCCTGGAAGCACTTGACTTGTACTCACTAGAGCGCAGGTGGAGAGATATATCATAATCTACACCTGGAAGATTCTGGAGGGACTGGTCCCTAATATGCACACAGCAGTCACTCCATACGAAAGCAAAAGACTTGGCAGGCGATGCAACATACCCCCGGTGAAAAGTAGGGGCGTCACTGGTACACTAAGAGAAAATACAATAAGCGTCCGGGGCCCAAGACTGTTCAACAGCCTCCTACCAGCAATAAGGGGCATTACGGGAAGACCCCTGGTTGTCTTCAAGAGGGAGCTGGACAGATACCTAAAGGCGGTGCCGGATCAGCCGGGCTGTGGT